TGTTCTTTTGTTACAATTATCGCAGTAGTCAAATATGGGTAAGATAAAAGATTTGTACATAATTTCAAGCGTTCTTCGATTTAACCTGTATTTTAGACTAAGCAATCAATTAATTAACGAGCTGGGCCACTTTACGGACAAGATAATCAATATGTTTTGATTGCCATTTTCCATCTTCCTGAAAAACCAGTCCTAGGTGTTTATGATCACTTACTTCGGGTATAAGAACATCATTCATTCGAAGAGGTAATTTAGGACTAGAATTAATTTTGTCGAAAATAACATGGCTTCAGTTTTGGTGGGACTAAATTTCACTTGCCATTTATCAGCCCAGTCTGTTATACGTTCTAAGTCACTATTCAATTATAGCGGTTGAGAATTCGGGGTCTTCAATAATTACATATAAAGGAGTATCATCAACAAAAAAGTTAATATTACTCGTTTTTTCCGTGAGTGAAGTCATTGATATAAACGAGGAATAACAGAGAGGTCCTAAAATTGAGACCTAAGGAACTCCAGCTCAAAACGGGTTTATAATTTGACATGTAGCCATTAATTACTGCAGTTTGTTTCCTATTAATAGGTTAGCTCCCAAAGAGCAATCCAAAGATTACCCAACATCCTGTTGACTTTGGTTTTACTAATAAGAAGCCCTCGTGCCAAAACACGATCAAATGCTTTGCTAATATCGCAGATATGGCACGAACTTCCTTTCCATCATCCAAGTCTTTGGAAATCACATGGTATAAATTCAGTTAACTGATAAACAGTTGAATCTCAGGTTTGAATCCCGATTAATGAGGTGGCTACTGATATCGATATCCGAGAAAAAATTAAACATGCTTAAATACACATTTTTTCAAATGCCTTAGAAAGAGAACATGTATCAAGGCAATGGGTCTATAATTATTGCAATCATGAACCTTTACCCTTTATAGATTGGAACAACAACAGATTGTTTCCATTGACAAGGAAAACAGGAAGACAGTAGGGATAAATTGAACAACGTAGTAATAGGGAGCCTGAGAATACAGCTAATTTTTTAAAAGCATGTTGCCATTATTATCTGGACCTTTAGCTTTGGTAGTATTTAAGTTTAATAAATCTCATGCACCTCTTTTTTGGACAAAAGGCAGCTCATTAAGTTTATTTGCAGGCTCATGTAAGCTGCAGGTTTCCTTCTCAGGTTCTTCAACTTAGATTTGTTGGGTAAAGTAATCATTAAATGCATCAGCAATATCACTGGGGTGATCAAGAACCTTCCATTAGTCCAAGATAGGAGGAGACTGTTTATTTGAATTTGTATTGTGTGCTGTATATATGTTTTCACTAAACGCCACCATGATTTAGAGCCAGCCAGAATTAATACTATCATCTAGTTTCATTTCATACGCGTTTAGCTTTCCTAACTTCGGAGTTGGCTTTATTTCGTGCTACTCTGAAGCGCTCCCAATCTACCAGTGAAATTTCTTTAGCATTTTATGCATACGATTTCTTTTCCTCATTAGCTTACGCAAGTGGCCATTCCATCCAAGAACAATCCCCAGTCTAGCAACAATCTCTTTATGGTGTATGTGCTGAATGTATCAAATGTAATGAATTTTGAGTAAATGGTGAAACAGGATGTGTCAATATCACTGTGGTCAGTATATATGTCCTCAATCAGTAGCAGCAATGCAATCACTCAAGCCATCATAATCTGCGTGGATATAATCATTATACAATTCATATAATATTCCTGACGTGGCCTTCCAAACTTGGGGAGACAAATACTGGACTATGATCACTGCATATTGGAGAACACCTGATTCATGTACAATGCTATAAACAGAAGTAAAAGATAAGATCAAGCAAATAAGTAGTGGTATCTGTTACGCGTGTAGGTTCAACAACAAGTTGTGTTAGGTTGTAAAACAATTGCAAGTATTCAATTCTGCCATTGCATCTGTTGAGTATATTAGCGTTAAAGTCACCTTCAACAATCATTTTAGTGTTTTTATCCGCAGCTTTTGCGAATGATTAATCAGTTAAATCCCAGTAATAGTTCCTGAGGTCCGCTCTGCAGAATGTACCAATCAGCAATTTATTATTGTTTACAATCCACCTCAATCCATACCATGCCTCTAAGTTTGGGAGATCAAGATCGGCAACATATAAGTAAAATACTGATTATCTTTTACGTATGCTACCCTACCCTCCTCCTTGTAGGCCTATTTTACGAATCGGTGGATGGAAACCCGGTATCATAATTTCGTCGTTTGAAATGTCAGGGGTGTAACCAAGTTTCGCATAAGCAAATGATATCATTATTGCCATATTCTGCAACTATTAGGATTCAACCTTATCCTCTAAGAAACTCTTTTGCACGTTCAAATACGATGAGTGGATAAAGGTCGCGGGTGTGGGTGGATATTCCCCAGAGCATAGCAGGAGGATTGATATTGTTAAAAGTAAACGGAACCCTAGACATAGAGGATACTATATACAAAGCACAAGAACTTATCAAGAGCGGCGTCGGTTTCTAACATCAAGAATAGATGCAAAAGCCCAACTGTCATTCGATACTGGCATATATCAGCCCATTATCTTGTGTAATGACGCAGTATAAACAATACAAAGCAGGGGACAGTGGGCGAGTGCAATATTCATCTCATATGTGTGTAAGCAAAAGATGAAAACCATGTTCTACCAAACTGTATAGATTGAAGGCATATTTTCTAAAGCAAATAGTATCTTGCGGTAGAAAAATACATAAAACGTATAAAGTAAACAACAAATGGCATGTTTAGCATGCCCCTGGGACAGACAGACACAACTGGTTCCGGTATACTGAATTATTCATAACTATCTTATAATATTAATAGTAAAGTCAAAGTTGCAAATAAAATGTCACTCTAAGTGTGTAATGTGTCAGTGTAAACGTCACATAACATAAATTACATTACACCAAATAAACTGTCACTCTGAGTGTGTAATGTGTCAGTGTAAAAGTCATATGATGTCACTCTGAGTGTGTAATGTGTCAGTGTAAAAGTCATATAATGTCACTCTGAGTGTGTAATGTGTCAGTGTAAAAGTCATATAATGTCACTCTGAGTGTGTGATGTGTCAGTGTAAAAGTCATATCACATAAATTACATTACACCAACAACAAAAATATTTGATATCAACATCGCAAGCAAGTTCTGTCAAATAATCCACTGCAGACTCTGATTAGAATGCAGCGATTTAAATGCCCATAAAGTATGTAGATTTATATCCGATAACTCATCATGTACTTATTGTGCTGCCTTTGAGGAAACCCTTAATTATAGTTTTATATGTCCCAACTATGATGCAATAAGAAACATGGATATAACTTAAATGACACTCTAAATGGTAACTTAGAATTACCTAGATCTATAAATCATGATATTATCAAATCAGTACATAACTTTATTATCACTTCAAGATGATTTAATCAATTTAAGTTTTCATCTAGCCCTTTGCAGTACTAAAGGTATTTGTGCTGTGTGGATCTTTATATTCATGTATATTGTATATGTTGTTTATGATATCATGTACTTTTGTAATAATGTTATGAAATAAAAGTCGCATAATTGTTATTTTGTCTGGAGAGGCATTGATAAAGGCTTTTTGCTTGTTTGCCAATCCAGTTTCTGAACAATATATCAGAAATATATATGTTTAAACCGAATTTTGATATTACAAACAAACGCACACACACTTGCATACATCTTAAATCCTGTCGTATTGTATATATAGACTATAGCCCTTGAACCACGGTTCACGTTTCAGTGGCTCTTGCTAATTACCTGGCTCGCATCTCTCACCTAGCCATAGTGCATTGTTGTCTTAACAAGGCCTTTGGCTAAGTGAGAGTGAACCATTTATCCTTAAACACTGTCATCTCTCTTGTTATTGTGGGGCGGTGGGGTAGCCTAGTGGTTAAAGCGTTCGCTCGTCACGCCGAAGACCCGGGTTCGATTCCCCACATGGGTACAATGTGTGAAGCCCATTTCTCGTTTCCCCCGCCGTGATATTGCTGGAATATTGCTAAAAGCGGCGTAAAACTCAACTCACAAACTCTTCTTCTTGTTGTTTTGATTTTGTTGGCAGGTTATGTGGAGCAGACAACCCAGTGTATTTATCAGCCAAACAAGTATCATCTCTCTTCTTCCTCTTCTTCATCTTGACCCCGCACTAAGCTTCTTGATTTCAGTGTATTACGATAAAGGGTATGTGGACCAGACAACCCAATGATTGATGTTGGCTATCTACATTATGTGGTTCTCATCTCCATCTTCTACCAGCAAGAGAGTGAGAGGTTAAAAAATCTATGAATATACAAAAGAGTTTTGACTAATTGTGCAACGTATATATTTTACTTTAAAATTAAATTCACTTGGTCTTAAAATAAAATACTATCCGCAGTTTGATATGAACTGAATGTTTGTGGGACGGTATTCAGTGGACTAGCACATACACCTGTTGTTGAACTTGTGAAATAATCCTGAACACAATTATTACAATATATTACAGCTATATGGCAGAAGTCTGTAACTAATGGAGTCTGGACCCGCCAATCCAGTGATCAACATCATGAGCATCGATCTCCGCAATTGTGATACAATGACATGTGTCAACCAGGTCAATGAGCCAGATCACCCGATCGCGTTAGTCGCTTCATACGAAAAATATCATGTGAATGATGTTAACAAATGGCCGTTAACTAACGAAATTAATCACCAGAAGATGCAAAGAGTACACCTTGAAATTCACTTTGTGTATGCATTTAGTTGACATTATAAACTAATGTGTCAACAGGTTGGTATGTACAGTATTGCTATATCATAACATATATTTATATGACACTATAAACGGTATATTCTATTTTGAGGCAAGAAGCTTCATAAACACATATATTTAAAACGAAGTCAGAAGTGTAAAATGAGTCAGTCAAATAAATGTGTCCAAAATACCAAATCATGAAGTTCATTTGATTATTGGTCTAAATATTCTTCTAATATAAACTTGTTATGGACAGCGTTGTGTCTGTAGTGGTATATATTATTCATTTCATTGCAAAGTGGATTTTTAAATTTAATTTGTACTATCAAATGCTTGGAAGTAATATTAAGCGTCAGACTGAACACTGGACATACAAAATAATGGTGTTGTTTCCATTCTTCAGTTCCTCACAGCTGTGGTGATGCAGTGACAATAGATTAACATAGAACACCTTAATCGTTTATATGCAGCATATCCATATCAAAATTAGGCATAACGGTTTTTGTCATCTCAGAATCTATCTCGATTTAATCCTTGTGTTGGTCAGTTGTTGTGTATTAGAACTCAAATCAGACCTACTACCCCCCTCTAAATAAAAACCCTTTCCAGAAGAATTTGAAGAAACTTGACACCACTGTACGATGTCGACTATATCCTGACGAAATCTTAATGAATCAATGAGGAGTCAAAAAGTGATGAAACGATGTGCGAAAAGGTGACGGAGCATCCGTCCAGACTCGTGGAACAAGTCACAAACACCCGCAAAGACAAGTCAAGTGTTCACCGAAAAAGAGACCTCAGGAAATTCCAGACAGACCATAACATGTTTACAAAACAATCATATACAGTTGTACCATTTGCATTTTCATCCTTATTGACACCTCTGTCGGTCTCTCGCCACCCCAGGTCTACATTGCAAATGCTACATCCCAGAGTCTTCTGTATACCACCCGGGGTGCTGTGACCTTGACCCACGGTAGCTGTAAGGCTGGTAGGCCTGTTTGAGATGTTGATGGCTTCTGTATACAGTACTTCCACATTTACACCAGTGCGGCGCTGTGAACGGTAAGAGTTAGAGTAGTATTCCCTTCTCAAATACAGGTTGTCATAAGGCCTCAGCAGGATGAGATGTCTTCTACAGAAATCGTCCGAGTATGACCCAGACTTTGCGAGGACAATCGTCACATAGTGAATACGGGATCGCGAGGGCTTGCAGTAGAAATCAGCAAAGTAAAGGTTGGCATAGTCATCAAAGACCTCCGTCAAAGGCACGGTCACTCTGGTGTCTCCGAAAGGTGACCTATCTGGAAGATCGCCAGGGTCCTCCCAAAGAAAATACCCGCAAGTCTACTGTTTATGGGACTGCGGTAATACAAGGTTTCATAATGTTGTTGTGGTATCTCCAAATATTTTGGAAGTAGGAGAATGGTTTGTTGCGGTAGAGGAGACTCACCCTCTCGGCAGGGAACCCATTGCAGTATGTATCAGCCTTCTTCAGCAGCCTACGCAGGTAATCTGACAATTAAAAGGCAAGCCACGTGAAGAACAATCACGTGTTACATGATTAAAGGATACGCTTGTTTTTAAGAATATAATTTTATTGCAGAGCTAAGATACCAACCGTCTGATCTTCAGTAGTTGGGTGGGGCCTGTGATTTGATTTGTCGACAAAATATTTTTTTTCAGCTGCAGAGTCTGCGCCAGATATTATGTGTAAAATATAATTGGAATCTCAATATATTTTGGCATTTTCTTTGTCGAGAAAATATTTTTCAGTTCCAAGGGTAAACCAGATGCATTTTTAAAAAAATATACAATAGTCCCAATGGAAATATAATCCAAATATATTTAATTACGAAGTATTTTGTGGAAACTTATTTTACGGAAAGAGTGAAGCATAATTATTATTTTCAACAATTCAGACAGTATACATATTTGCAATATAATCCCAGCCCAAGCATCAATTACTTTTAAAAAAATAAGAAATAGTCTAAATGGAATGATTGAAACACGAAGCATTTCCGGTACTTATTCATTTTATCGAAAGTCTGAAGCATAATTATTGTTTTCAACAATTCAGACAGTATACATATAAACAATATAGCCCCAGTCCCAGGCCCAGCCAGAGACACAGACACAGCCACAGCCACAACCACAACCACCACCACCACCACCACCACCACCACCACACATCCCACCCCCACCCCTACTCTTACCCCCAAATTAACACACACTTATATGTATATCACAAAGGCAAAATACGTTTGACGAAGTATATATACAGTGGAGTTTTCATGTGTCCCAGAAATGATAGTTGTTAACTGAACAACACATATTAAAATCTAATGAAGGCCAATACACAAGGAGATACGAGTAGGCGTTTGACAACTCCAACACAAACACCACGGCGCCTGCCGCCGACGGGCGTATTCATTAACACTTTCCAAGAACTACAGACTATCTGGAAATCTCAAATTCTTTGAATCTGAAATCGAAAGTAGTTCGCTAATATCGAAACAACATTGATATTGTTTCAACCACCTCTCAAGCATAAAAACACAGGAAATAGGTGTTACACATATATTATATATGCAATAATAATCTATCGATACATTGATTAGACTCAAGATAGACTTCCGTCGGTCTTTTCTATGATTAACAAATGTGCATGTAGAAAGTTGGAAACACAGTGGCCTAACTTCTATAAACAGTTTGAAATGTGCTCGATGTAGTTAGCTTACAAACAGGAAAGCGCATAGTTATGTTTGCATCATGCGCAATTACCTTTATCCGAGATATCTCCGACTGCCATGTTGCTAAAAAATAGACTCAGTCAAGCTCCTCACAGCGATGGCCCGTTTGCGGGGCACTCCAGCTCTCCACTGTGCATATCAGCCTTTCAACCACACATTGATTTAAACACGCTGCACTCTGAACATTATGTATACTAGCCAGTCATGACTGTCATCACGCAAAACACTCTTAGTAAAAGCTAAATTATTGTGTGGCAATCTGAATATTGTATCAGATATTTTATTCATTTTCTCAAGAGGTAACAGGCCTACAGTACATTACAAACATTATACTATGACGGCTACACATTTACTGAAATGTACTATTTTTTCCACGTAACATCGCATGATAAATATACATGGACATATTCTGTATGCATCATGGAATTGCTGTTTCATTTAGAATATCATCTTAGAGATACTGACAATTGGATGCTTGATAAATGGACAAATATTATCTATAAATTTCCAATATAATTTACATCACTTGATATAAAGGAAAACGTGAGTGCAAATTGATACTCAGTCTCGAGTATCCTCAGAAACATATTCAATTATCCGTAAAGTGCAAATAGCGGTGACAATTACACGAATGGATCAATGAAAATTCGTGATGACACCGGGTGTTCACGAAAGGGTTATATAAGCCCTACCCTACCGGTATCAACCAAAACACAGCCTCTTTGTTTCCCATAGTTTAAATAAAACCAAAGTTCAAGTCAAAGATATTTATTGTACAAAAGGCCGCCGGACCATATACATTAGAAGTAAACATATACATTACCCAGATGTTGCACAAAGCAGGAATTTATGTTCCAAACAGTGAATCATGTTAAAGGCACTAGGTTACATTACAAATAGTGAATTACGGTGGATCTACAAAACGTTATATTGATAGTCATTAATAGTGTCTTGTTGATGCTTCAATGGCACAGCAGTGACAACGATCTGGACAACCACCTTCAAAAGACATTCCTTTTAGCGAGATACAGCAGTACAGCGATACAGACAGCACTTCACAAATGTTCACAAATGTTCACTTTCAGTATGTAGCAACATCTATTCAGAAACAAATCAATACAATAACTATTTATAACAAGTAACTTAAATATCTCAAACCATGTTACCCCATAGTAATGAATAAAGCTAGTTTTGGTTATCATGTACAAACATGGCTCTTGCATTCATTTTTCAGTTTGATCTGTCCTTATCTTTTCTGATTTTATACTTTAAGCACTGACATTGTTTCCTCAAGGTTAGAGACATCAGTCTGTGGATCTACATTGCATATTTTACAACCAGGTGTTTTAATTATGCCTCCTGTGTTGCTTCCTTTCCCGATCACTCCAGTTGTGGTAAGCTCCAGCAGCGATATGTCCACTTCATCTGTATAGAAGACTTCAACCCATACTTTGTCCTGCAGGATAGTTTTGTAGGTGCTTTCTTCCTTCCTCAGAAACACGTTGTTTCGTTCATCCAAACCAATGAGGTGCTCCTGACAAAAGCGGTCAGCTTCTGTATCAGGCTTTGTAAGCACTAATGTGACGTAGTGATTATTCCTTTGACCAAGCATACAGTAGAAATCGGCGAAATACAGCCTGGCAGAGTCATCAAAGAGTCTCTCCAGGGGAACCACAACTCTGGTGTCTCCGTATGGGGATATGGTTGGTAGATCACCGTTCCAAAGGGTCACCCCGAAGAACACACCTTTCAGTTTCCCGTTTATGGGACAGCGTGGATCCCCGCCGTTGTCCTTCCTTCGTGGCAACATGGTTTTATTTACAAGTTGCTTGAAATAGTCAGCGGATTTATTGCGGTAAAGGCCGTTGACTATATCGGAAAACCAACTGAAACAGTGATATTTAGCCTTCTCAAGTAATGCTTGAAGGTAATCTGAAATAAATAATATTTTTATCAAATCGTATCTACACAAAAGGTGAAAAAATTAGAAGTGATTAACAAACTTGTACGAATTTAGTAAATCAAAAGTGATCACTCATCCAAATGCTAACCTTCAGGACTACTCTGTTAATATTGTTTTTTGTTACACTAACACGTTCAGGATAGATTTATTAACAGATACATTCCATTCAGTGTGCCACAGCGGATGGTTCATAGCAAAGTGTGTCAGACATAAAAAAGTTAATTTCGCAAATTATGAAATGTCAGTATCTTAAACTCAATCCTTGTTGCAACAGGGAGCAAATGGAGTGACCTCAGTTTGTAGTGATATGTCCTCTCTTTTTACATCAACAGATAAGTCGTGAAGCGGAAATATAAAAATAATACAGTCCGTTGGGTTCAAATGAGAACGATGAATGATTAAATAACTCGAAATAGGCTGACTGTCTGACTGAGTTTGGTTTTACGCCGCTTTTAGCAATATTCCAGCAATATCACGGCGGGGGACACCAGAAATGAGCTTAACACATTGTGCCCATGTGGGGAATCGAACCCGGGTCTTCGGCGTGACGAGCCAACGCTTTAACCACTAGGCTACCCCACCACACCTCTCGAAATAGGGATAAGTGCACAAAACATAAATAAGACACATGGTCCTGAAACCTGTTCCACCAGCCGTTTGTCACCCGTCGGTGAAATTCACTGGTCCAGGTCATGTATATCATATCGTCCACTGACACCCCAAGACAAAGAGTCCATTTCCCCGTTCCTCAAAGCGATCGTAACGCTACGACAGTCGTAAGTCTATGTTAAAGTATGGGAGTTACGATCATCGTAGCGCTACGATCGCTTTGAGGAACGGGGCCCTGGACGACACCAAGTGTTCGCTAAAAGATGAGCGGTATCCTGACTTATCAGTACAGCTCTGAGACCAACATGAGAACAAGGACACCCCCTATATGTCCAGGATTCTAATTTGGGTAAAGCTACACTAACCCCTGTCCATTCCCGTGGTTCTCACAATCTCAAATATCTTTCCATTGGCCAGTTTGATTGGCTACCTCACTGGGTCAAACGTACCAGAATTCAAGATACAGAACACAAACCGACTTCAATTTGGAGTTGGCAATATAAACAAGGCGGCCATTGATTATGATCAAGTTTGCGACACATTCCATACTGAAGACCCGTGAAGATCCGGGTTAGAATTGATCTTCAGCAACCCATGCTTGTCGTAAAAGGCGACTTGCGGGGTCGAGTGATGAGGCTCGATTACTTGGTTGACAAATGTCATCGCGAAGATCGATGTTCATGCTGTTGATCGCTGGAGTGTATGGTCCAGACTCGATGATTCACAGACCGTCGCCATATAACCGTAATATTGCTATGGGCGGCGTTAAACAGCCAACCAACCAACCAAGAAAGATTTCAAGGCTTCAGCACTGACACTAGCGGTGGTTAAGTTTCCAGGTAAAAAGACCTTATCATTTCTCATGCCCTTTTGTAGTTGACCCATTGGTTGGTAACAAATTCATGAAAATCAAGTTGGAGTAATTAGAGACCACAAACACCATGGAAATAGATCCGGGGTTAGTGTAGGTTGAAA